AACAGATGAAGGAAATCCCTTCTCTTCAGAGTTCTAGCTTACATTTTTCCATCTATCAATGCAGTGGTTTGATTAAAAGTTTGAAAGTCATTGTTTGAATTACAAACCAGCCTGGTATGTTAACTTCATTGCTTGCTTCATTTTTTTCACCGTTGCTTAATATTTTTCTGAAAAAATCTGAGAACCAACAAATCAAATTGGTGTGGCCTAATAGAAAAAATATCAAAATGAAAAAAAGATATCTACCATCACTGATGTTGAGCATAAGAGACATGTGTATTGGGGAACCAGCTGTTGCCCATTTTATACAAAATGCCTTAAAACTGTTACAGTAACTACTTTTCCTTGTGGCTGATATGCCATTAAGCAAAGACCTTCCGGTCACAACAAAGTAGGAAAATTATTGATATTCCATCTAACCAAGTCCACCATGAAAGAAAAGTAATGACCTAATTACATTGTCAAGGATAAAGCCTCTTCAAAATGCAATGGACCTCAATGGACACATGCAAGTTTCCAAATTTCCAACCAACTAGTATGCCTAATAACCAACTTAAAAGTCGCCTTACGGCCACACAAATTTGATCTGTTGGTTCTTGTCTTTTTTTAAGAAAAATATGAATAACAGGGTGAAAAAAAACAGACCTAGGCATCTTCTTATCGTGCCAAAAGCTACAATAGGAGCCATGACATCAACATACCTGGCTGGTTTATAATTCTAAACTTATCAAATTTATGTTATAGTATTGATACGGAAAAACTGTAACAACTTGGAAGACAAGATTTCATCAACTGTTTGAGAGCCAAAATATTAACTTTTTCTTTCAAATCAGAAAAAACGAAGCAGGCAAATCCGAGAACCAATTAATCAAATTGGTGTGGCCTTAGCATGAGAGAACTTTGACTTGGTCGCTGCCTCCATATGTGAGCTGCATGCATTTACAAACTCTGTGTAACACGACTCGTTAAAGAAGTAGTTTGCAGAAAACAGATGGCCAAGGCCCGGGTTTAATGAGACATTGATTTGCTCGAGCCCGAGGTTGTCGGAATTTACTGACCTGACAAGCTCACACCAATTTGGAGCAAGTTCAATGTTAGGAATAATCCTTAATCATGAGAGACCATTTTGACCTTGCAACCTCCAATCTAACCTGACAGGTGCACCTGGGTGTGCTTGACATTATTTGAACTTCGTAGTAGTGCCTTAGGATTATAAGCCGGAGTTTTTCACTGGCAGAAGGTTCCCTAAAATTACTGGTATTACATGATTCGAGGCAGCTGCTGGATTTGACAAATTTGACCTACTGGACCTATCCCTGACTTGTAAAGCTGCATACCAAAGATACCACATGCACTGCAGTAAAGTTCAAATATCACATCCCCAAAATACAATAGCAGCCATATTAAAGCTAAGTACAACATATTTTTTCCAAAAGTATAAACGTCCAAAACTTAGACCACCCACTGTAACAGTTGTAACTACTACATGTAGAACAAAGCTGATAGCTTAGACAGATGACAAACATGTCTACACCTACATCTCTTGAAATGCAAGCCCCTCTGGAAAATTCTATCATTCTTAACGTTATATATGGTGTAAGTTATCATTCCCTAGGCAGACATATCCTTTGATTTGTATGTTTGCATAATAATTACTTACATACCCTCAGCTGACATTTATTCAATCTTCTATGGCAAGTTGTACATGTATGACACATGAATAATTATCTTTTTTTTTAAGTATTATTCTGATGTTCAATTATCAATAATTGCATGACTCCTGACTTTCTCCTTGTCCTTTAAAATGTGGTTGAGTAATATAACTCAAACATTCAAGTTATGTATGTTTGGTGTACTTGTACTTCCAACCACAAATCATTTTGACTGATAAGACACACACATAACCTTCGCCTCAACAAGTGAACGGGCCCCTAGCAAGGTATATCTGCACTGATGCACACCTTGATGCAAGAGCGATGGAAGAAAATTCCCAAAATAGGTTGTTTGACCCTAGAGCTGGCGACAAGCATCTGTGTGACTGAGTACTTCGTACTGCCTCCCAGAACAAACTGTCAAGATTTCTAAACTGATGAAAGAAAGCAACTTTGCTGTGTGAGAGAAATAGGCAAGGGAAGGATCACAGTGTAATCCTGCTTGCTATCTTATTTGTTGAGAGGAAATGGCATCAGCCCTGCTCCCTCCAGGGCCTCTTCTTCGTTCTATCTAGAAATGATCTGCAGCTGTCTAGAGGGCTTCTTTTCTCATAACACAGGCTGCCGCAATTCTTGACGCTGCCAAAAGTATATGAAAAGGATACCGATGAACTCATCCATTTCCAACCTGAGGTTGTTATTCTTTCTTTCTTTGCAGTGCGCAATTCTCCCGCCGTACTACGACCTTGGGCGGCTACAGAGGACAAGATGGCTGACCACAATGCAATATTGCTGACTCAGGGAAAGATTATATTCTGTATGACGATAATCCTACAAAATGGCAGAAAAGGATCTTCGGGCTCATTGGTATGCCGCTGGCGTACAGGGCCCTGTCTGTTCTTTACACATGCAGCAGTGAATGGATGACTGGCGCAAAATTGTGTCCCCTGATGAAATGGTAAAAGCATCCTATGGGAGCCGCCTTGATGTTGTTATGCATCACTCTTTTCCAATGGCTTGCTGTATGTTAAACTAGGATATATAGGGCAGAATATGTTGCATAAGATTGCCGAGTCATCATTTAAAGAGGATCTGATTATTAGATTGTGGCAAGATAGAAAGGAATATGTATGAAGCAGGCATAGTGATAATCTAATGGTACATAATACATGTACAGTATGTCAAATATAACTTAATTTTCCAAATTTGTAAAATGTTTAATTATGCAGACATCTTTTTATCAGCTCATTACAAATTGAAGCATTACTACTGAATCTTCATCAAGCAAGAAAAAATTCATACAATTCTACTAAAAAATCTTTGGTTTGCATACATGTATTTTGTTTTAGATTTTGTGTAGCTTTGATAATTCTAATTAAGATTTGGAGTAAGACTGATGATCCCAAACCAACAGTCTGTGCTTGAAGTAATTTGTTGGGACAACTTAGTTGACAGATAGACAGAGGGGTTCATGATACTTCTGAAGAAGAGCTAATTACAAGTATCCATTACTGCTTAATGTGGGTCATCCTTGAAAGGGCATGCACATGTACATAACATGCTGTATCCATCTGTTACACTATAAAAGAATGCTAAGGTGGCAAGCTAGGTGACAAGGTAGTCTTGTGGTTAGGCGTGTTGACTTAGAATGAACTTTAAAGGTTCTGAATTTGAATCTCTTGCAGCTCCCAATGTTGTGCCCTTGGGAAAGGGACTTAAAACCTATTTTTGTGCTCACCTCAGGTAAAAATGAGTACATATGACTTCAGTTAGGGATCTGATGGGACATATACCGGAAGGCCCTGTAAATATTCGAGGAAAGTAACACCTCGAGCATGTTGAAGAAGTCATCACACTTGTCAAAAAAGTAGGGGTCTATCCCAGTGTGAGTGAATCAAACTAGACAGTGTGGTTTTATAAGGCTTGTATCTTCTGTACAAAGCTGGTGTGTTACCGGTATGCCTAAACATGTTTTACCATTTATGCGAAACAGACACAAACAGAAACCAATTAACAAGTAATTCAAGATTCGTAGCATGCAGAAAGGTGCCATTTGAGGAATAAGAATAGTGTTGTATGTTGCAACATCACTCACACTCACTCACTGTCCGGTTTATCGTCTGTTGTTCCCCGTCTTCCGAGGGTTAGACGTACATGTACAATAATTGTAATGTTATCAATAATTCATTTCTGCACCAAATACAAAATTGTATGCTCCAGTTGCAAAACAAGGAATTTTTTTATAATGCCCAAATAAAGTTTCTTGTAATAAGACAGGGCTGCTCATGTACGTGTAGATGTGTAATGCTTTCAACAATTGGTTGCTACTGATACAGAAAAGGGTTGCCTTTTGAGGGAAGAGTAATGTAATCTTTTCACCCTTAGTTTGCATTCATCACCTTTGCATTATAGACATGCAGATTAATATACCAGAGAAGCTACACACTGCCTTGATATGTGACTCCATGCACAGTGTGCTATGGTGCTTATTTTCCCTCAAGACCCATAAAATGTGTTTGTTACAACAGTAAAATGTAACACTGCTGAGCTACATGTACATGTATAGGAGCTGCACTTGTGCCATTCAATCTAGAGAGGGGATTCCTTGTCATGGTAGTTCTAGGCAAACCCAGCATATTCTCAAGACCTACAATCCATTTGGGGCTTGTTGGAACAAACCAGAGATCTCCTGATAGCTGAAGCTAGTAAGCTGCATCATCATTCAGTGACAAGACTTAAGGCACGAGATTCATTGTCTCCTTTGTTGGTTTAGTCTGGTCTAAGCAGGAGTCTTTTTTCACAATCACACAGCTTCTACCTCAAGGGGAATTCGCTGTCTGTCCTGACCTGCACCCTTCTGTATAGTAACTGTAATTCATACAGTGCACTAAAGTCTTGGACCTACATGTACATGTAAAGTTACCGTTATTGTAATACAACACATGCAGAGAAATGCATGTCCCAAGAAGAAATGGACATGGTGATGTCACAACAAACTGGCAGACACGTCAACTAACAAAAAATCCAGAGGGCAGCATCATCACCATTTTGTGACTTATGGAGTTCCTATTATGTTGATATGCTAATATTGTTGACAATAAGCTGCTTCACAGTTTTATCTGCACATGTTTGAAGGGCCTATGAATTGTAAACAATTCTTGTCCAGACCATGCTTGTCATGCTTGACATGTATTATACATCAAGTTGTCTACGTGTCAGGAAATATTAAAACTAGGCTTTGGGTACTGGGAGGGTTAACCTTGAGATATTACCTACGACACATCACACTGCACAGTGATGCGCAGTTTAAACTGTGAACCAGCTTATTGTAGCCAGCACGACGCTTACCTGCTTCAGACATCCCATGAAGTTGTTGGTGATGGTTGAACCCGGCAGGTCTGCGCTGCTGGGGCTGCCTCCCACATAGATGAAGTCGTCGGTCCCCAGCATGGTGAAGGCATCTTGCGTGAACCCCGTCTCCGTGAAGATTTCATCTACTGAAATCGTAACCTGCACAAGGGCCGCCACATTGCGCTTTTTAGAAAGGTTAGTCCTTGTGGCGAAGCAACAGAGGACTTTTTGGATTAGACCACAGGTTGAAAACAATCGAGTCCACACACCATTAGCTGCTATGAACAAGTTACAGAAAGAAAAAGGAGACACCATTAGTTAATATAAAAAACACACAGTTTGAAACTTGTCTTAGCCATTAAAGATGAGTGCATTACACACTTATTGCCACACTCTGTGCAACAGTTATGCTAGAATGCAAAAGACTGTTGTTAGCATTGCTTTTGACTTGTTTATCCATAGATAGACAGTCCATAGAAACATTACATTTTATTGTTATGTACCACAGAAGACAGGTTTTTACCATAGCGGATCCTATGTTCGACTGCTATGCGAGGAAAGTGGGTGGAGAAGGTAAAAATTCAGATTTAGTAATGCGTATTCAATGTGTTCAGCAGAACTTGAAAGGTCCTTAATTTTTACCGTTAGTGTTACATCTAACAAGTTGACCACACTGACCATACTGACTCTGGCATTCCTGCTAGGGAATTGCCCTCTAAAACTCTGCAGGTGGAACAAATTAAAGTGAAACAAAAGCGTAACAAATTCAGGTCTTAACACTGGATTTTCAGCTTATGTGTTAGCGACTATGCAATGCTTCGATCTCTCTCTTACACCACCGAGTGCATTAAGTTTCTCCATTACGTTGTCGCCGCTCCGTGTTCCAGCTTTGCCTACGGGAATGAATTAGTACCACAGAGTTACAATGCAATCTGCACACTACCTGCTGCAGATTCCGAGTGACCTTCACATCGTGCCATCGGTTGTCATTGAAGGTGCCCTCCAGGGGTTCCACCAGGGTCTCAAACGCGCCGGATCCGAGGTTCACCACCAGGGAAACCGCGCCATTTTTCAGGGAAAGGTTGACATAGTCCTGACCGGTCCCCGTGTGGAACAACAGGCCGCTGCGTTGGTGGGTCTTGAAGCCCAGCGTGATTTCATCGTGGCTGCTCGAGATGGGACTGCCAGAAAGGTCGTAGACGAAGTACTCTGAGCCTCGGAACGTGGCGGTCACAGCTTCTTGTGCTGGAGAATAGAAAAAAAAACACAGTCAATATGATCACACTGCCAATCTCTACTAACACGTGAAGATCCACTTAAGACAGTTTGAAGAAGAATTGTGTAACCTGTTAAAAGAAAAACAAGGTTAAAAGTTTAGTTTCAATGTGGACTTGAGACATACAACAGCAGTAAACATTGTAAAACTGCTCCTCATCTGAGACAGTTTGGTTGAAATGGATGGCAATAGTGTAAGATAGGTCCACTATTTCCAAGTTCTTGTTTTACCGCTGCAAACACACTCAACAATTTGTTATTTTTCTCACCGATGACTTAAAACAAAATGTACTTTTCTCACCAAAATTTAGGGTCTACTTGTTTACTTTTTTTGCTGGTTGCAGTCCCAGAGTTAAGGGCAATAAAACACCCGTAACTCTCTATACATTAGACATTTCTGCCTTGTGAGAAAGGAAGGCCCTTCTTTTATTCAGACATTATCCTCCTATCCAGTTTGTAAGATAAGTACCCAATTTGCCACAAAATTTTGTCCAAACAGGGGATAAGAAGGCAACAGAAGAACAAGAAGAACAAAAACTGAAACCAGCTTGTATGAAGGTCATGTTGATTTGCACTGTCTCGTAGTGACGATTTTCTTGTGATGAGTGCAGCAAGTATTTAGATACTCAGATAAGTCCAAAGTTGATGTTTCAAGAAGGCAGTTTGTATTTAAATATAATTGTATCTTTAGGTGCCTTATTTTAGGAAGAAGAAATATTCGAGATATGTTTGAACCAGAGAAAGGATGCTGGTTGATTTGATTTTCTGAAAATTTATGAAATAAGTAGATTTGTCATGCCCTTTTGGAGACACAACTGTCACCAATGATAATATGCATAATCACAGAGGACAGACACGTGTAACAGGCATGTACCTACAGATTTGTATCAGCCATGTACCTAGAGATGTGTGACAGACTTACAACAGGAGAGCAACAGATCTGTAAGTACATGATGTGAGACAGACCTGTGTACATGTATGTACCCAATGGCATGTGCAGCGGACCTGTACCTTTGCATAGCTATGAAACTGAGCTATGTAACAGACCTGAACCAACAGATGTGGAACAGATCTTTCTCTGTACAGATGTGTACACATAAACTGTATGACAGTTGTATTTCTGAGAATACACCTGCCACACGTCAGCAAAAAAAAAACAACTGTTACTTTGGAGGAACCAGGTATCATTCATCCTGATCGGAGAACTAATTCAAAAGGTAAGTTTATACCTGTGGAAAAAGAAACATAACAGAGGGCAAAAATCAAATATTAGGCAAATTGAAGGAAATTAATGAACACTTCGTTTGTCCTTACATGAGTGTGTAATTTGTATACCAGAATGACTCTAGTCAGGACATCTACTGAGCCATGAAACTACAAAATATGTTATTAAGCTAAACTGTCAACTGCATCTAAAACGAACACCACACATCCACATCTAGAATTGGATAGTTTTGAGAGAAATGAACAAACTCCTTAGAGAGGACAAACTTCTGATTTAAAATCCTTTACAGCTCCAATATGTTGTTAAGTCCAATATTCCCCTCTCCTCTTATAAGAATTTCTTTGCATGTAGTGAGGAAATAATACGAGTCAGTGTGATCGTGAGATAACATTCATCCAAAGCAGCTGCAGCCAGTCGGCTCTTGCTGATTCAGCAGATGTACAGAGCAGATTGAGAGTGACCTTGGAAAAACAATATTGTTCTGAGGCTCACAAACTCATTAACGGGAGACCTCACAGGATTTTACGCCACACGTTGGGAAACTCTTGAAGAGACAGCGGAGAATAGAGTGACCTTCAACTGTTATGAGTGGAGCAAAAGGCTGCAGATTGCAATAACCATCTCCAAGGAGTTCATCGCTCTCTGATATATACATCGCACATCAAAAAAGGCAGGAGGAGGATTTTTTTATTGTCAAGTTTAGTAGCAGTCATGAAAAAATGTAGTTAGTGGCAAAAGTTGTGAAGCAAAATCAGATGGAGTTACCATACCTTTGTCTGTTTAGTCAATGGGAAGTAGCATGCATGCAAAAAAGGGAAGAAGAAAAAGGAATTCAAAGTGAAAGGTTGTGATGGGAATTAATGTTGCTGCATGGAGACAGTGAGTGAATCCTTCTTCACAATCCCATGCATTGACAAGGATTGGTTGGTGGACATTGTCAAATAACTTAGAAGCAAGCAGGGTTAGAACCATGCAGGAGAGTTAGTTCATATTGCATTGGTACAAAGGTGGAATCAGACAGTGCTAGCTACAAAAGCTGATTATTCCAGATGCAGGTCTAGTTGCAGTTATACATAGGATAAAAATAAGTAACTCCAACACTTGCATCATATGTGACTCGTCTGATGTGACAGTCACAATTTCAACCTTCCCATTTCTTACATGTAACGTTACATCCAACCAACAAAGTTGTATATTGAACCCAATGTTACCAGAAGTTAGTGACTTACATGTACTAATAGGTTTTCTTACTGTATGTACATGTATGTACATGTATTTACATGTACATGTATACTATAATTACTATAATCATAATGAGAAACAGTGGTTCACACACACACACACACACACACACACACAAGACACATCATGTATAATTAAACATCCATTGTAGTTAATATGCAAATTTATGAAAATGTAATGCACATCATGAGCTGGCATCAGACTTCTTGGCATCAGACTTCAAGTTATACCTATAATGAGACCCCCCCATACAATGAAACTGAAGTAATCAAGATATGTATTGCTAATTGCAAGGAAAATATGATGTTACAGTGTCATCATATTATTATGTTCATATACCATTAAGTAATGTAAAAGAATTCTTACAGTACTTACTATTGAAAGACATGAAACTAACCTCATTTAAAAATGGATCACTTTTGGTTATATTTTATATGTAACATATTCACATTCAAAATGAGTTCAGTTGTCTAGGTACCATGGCTTTGGAACATTATTTTTCTATATGACAAGCTTCCTTGGTGGTATGTAGAAGAATATGTAGGATTGGTATATAAAATCACAGTCATAAAAGGGAATACAGCATTTTCATTAATTCATGTAATACTATGTGAGTCTCAGGCCAATTACAGCAACATAGATATAAATCCGAAGTACTGTACAATCCAAGTATGTAAAATCATTATCAGCTCATGAAAAAAATATTTTTTGGAGACTCCCTGTCCCTGTAACAGCTCATCGACAAAGTTTTAGGATTTTTCCATTGTAATAATATTAAAAAAAAAAGAAAATATACTGTGTCTCATCATCATCTTCATCATCATCCATGCTATCCTTGAGTGCCCTTATAGGTAACAACCAACTTAGCGAGACCCTCCACACTTCCACTCACTCTGGCCTTTGAAACCTCTATAAATGTTATTATTACCTTTCACTCCAGATACTATCATGCATATGAAATGCGACTTTATCACATTCAAATACAATCATGCCCCTGCAGCAATTTATAACCCTCCACGCCCCAGCAAAAGCGAGCTCCGGAATTCCCCTGAACCCGAGGCTCATTAAATATTCATATCTGCGCACACGGTCTAGCACCTGCCTATCTGCACTCCCCACACACTTCCACCCAGTTTTTTTACTTGACCTTGAGGCAGCTGAAGATTATATGAAGCGAGGCAAGCCTGAAGAATGTGACTTTGGCCTTTTTGGAAATAACCATAACCATTCTTTGATGTGAAATGAGTTCATTTGTTTATGCTACCGATGCACGATGGGTATAACCAACCTTTACAGAAAATTTATGCAATTAAATTGCAATTAGCATTACATAGCAAAAATTACACTTTTTATCTTTAGTTATTATTCTTATCATATATATATATTTACTCTTACTCTTAATATTAACCCAGAAGTCAATTTTAAAGGTGAAAAAATAAGAATACCACAGGGTATGTGAAAGTGCTGATGCTGTAAACAACAAAAACATTTATCACTAATCCTTTTGAATATAATCTCCTTTATCCAATAATTGATGATTGGTAAAATTACTGAATAGCTGAGACACCGAAAATTCATAAATACATAAATTCTACATCAGTGTACCATTCAAATCCCTTTCTAAATAATCACAGCAAAATTAAGGCACTGTATTATGCACATACCAATGATATAACCTTTGATTATATAAATGTATATCATATATCGGTTGTTTATTAATAAAAATTTTCATTGTTTGCATGATGAAAATTTGGGTATCAAAGATCAATTTATCATTTTCTTGTATTGTAAGAAAAGCTGTGCAGGAAAAAACATTCCTTAAAATTACATGAATTAATGTATCAAAATCAGTTCCCTTCCCAACCTGTCCTTTTCTTTAATCAATAAAATATTGATCTTTCTCAGTATCATTGTCCAATCAATAGAAATGTCGAATATAAACAGCACTTGTTTGTTGGCATGTCATTCAGCACCAGGGACAGGGACACTAGACTTGATGGTGTGTCATTCAGCACCAGGGACAGTAACATTAGTTTTGTTGGTGTGTCATTCAGCACCAGGGACAGGAACACTAGTTTTGTTGGTGTGTCATTCAGCACCAGGGACAGGAACACTTGTTTTGTTGGTGTGTCATTCAGCACCAGGGACAGGGACACTAGTTTTGTTGGTGTGTCATTCAGCACCAGGGGCAGGAATACTAGCTTTGTTGGTGTCATTCAGCACCAGGGACACTAGTTTTGTTGGTCTGTCATTCAGCACCAGGGACAGGGACACCAGTCTTGTTGGTGTGTCATTTAGCACCAGGGACAGGGACACTAGTTTTGTTGGTGTGTCATTCAGTACCAGGGACAGGGATACTAGTTTTGTTGGTGTGCCATTCAGTACCAGGGACACTAGTATTGATGGTGTGTCATTCAGCACCAGAAACAGGGACACTAGTATCATTGGTGTGTCATTCAGCACCAGGGACAGGGACACTAGTTTGTTGGTGTGATTTCAGCACTTGAAACAGGGACACTAGTATTGTTGGTGTGTCATTCAGCACCAGGGACAGGGGCACCAGTTTTAGTTAAGCCAAACCATGCCTTAATTTGTATATACCTGAAACCGTTTAACAGCAAGAAAATTTAGCTATTATACAATCATGTAGTCATTGAATTCATCAGAAACTAAAACTTTCAGCTAGCATGACATATGTTTAACTGGTACATGTAGCAGTACAGATTTCCCTTATCTCAAAAATGCATTTTTGGAGATCCTTCCATCTTGATATTCAACACCAAGATGATGTATCGAGATCTGGTAGATGCATAATCAGAAACAAGCCAGAAGCAGTATTTGATATGATAATTGAGCCGTGTGAACATACATCAAATGCCAGAGTTGAAAAATGTTTTCCCCAAGACCAGAATTTTTGGGATGCAGTAGTCTACATGTAACTCTGCATGTCTTTGATAAAGTAGCGGGTTTATGGGCTGACCCAGTTTTTCCTTGATTTGTCAAAATTCTCATTTCAGATCTGACCAGATAGGATCATTTGTCTTCAAAGGGCTTTATTTATCAGCCTTGGTTTGACTGCCATCGTCAATCACTGCATCTCTTCAGAAAGATAGAAGAGAGGATTGAGCTTCATAACGCACATTAAAACATTCAGAATGGAGGCCACAACTTTCTAATGGCGATGTACATGATGCACTGTGAATCACTTTATCTTTGCGGTACTTTTATATTCACAGTTTTTGTGGTCACTTCTATGCCACAAATTCATTATTAGTACTGCCAATAATTTGTCGACTTTCTTTCTTATGCACCCGTCGCAAACGCAAAATTTTCTACCGTGAATATAGAGTAATTTACAATTTGTGTTACAGAGTCTAGCATCTTGTACACTGACTATGAATACACAAAAAGAAGTAGTCTAATTATATACACTGTCACAGTGTCTGACTGGCTTCTGACTGGGCCACTTTGACTTGCCTTATGCGTCATGAGAGTACCTAAGTCTAAGTACCAAAGTAAGTCATCCAGCTCTTAAAGATGTGACAAAATCCCTGCACACAACATCAAAGAAAGTAATCTAAGAATGATTTTATGGTATGAGACATTGACAGAACACACGTCACTCTCACGGCTACAAGCTCTCTATCTGGGCACATTTATTTCCCGGTAATTTATAGGTTGAGGCGAAATTACTCCGGAGGATTATTCACAGTCTTCGCACCAGCAAGTACGTGTGCGGGTGTGCAGTTGACATCTGAGATAAGCTTGACGTGTGAAGAGTGACAAGATAATGGGAATACTGTAGGTTTAATACCCAGGGCTTCTTCAGTAAAATTGGTTATGGGAGGTAATATGTTTCAATATCTATAGCAATGCTGCTTTGAATATTTGTACGTTTTTGATGTAAGGAACGCAAAACAATATCTAAAAATCATCTTATATAATTCTATATTATTATAATTACAGGACTTGTTTAATTTTTTTTGGACAGCAACTATCTGAGCAGATATAAAATTACTCATTCACTTCTGTTTAGATGCTATAAGTTAATTCACCAATTTTTATTCTTTGACTGACCAGTATGTGGGTGTGCACAGGTTCCAGGGATGTCACAAGTTACTGTACAGCAGGCATTCGATATCTTAAAACCTAATTAATGAATTACAGTTATTTTCAAACTATGAAAAATGCTAATTGGAAACAGGAAAACCCCTTCCTTCTTGCCAATATAAAAGCTAGCGTAAAAAATTTTAGTGTATGCCTTCAGTATCGTTCATTTACTATTTTTGGAGAAGGTACCCAATCACAGAAAAATATGTTGTAAAATTGGCCCTAAACAACACTCAGGTCTAGTTATTAGTTTGCAGAGAGCCATGTTACTTCTGAAAATCTGTTTCTGTGATGGTCTTCGGAACGCATTAATCAATTTGGGACAACTGTATATAAAATACGCGATATATCATCTACAAGAAAGATGAGGAGATTACACATCAAGGACACGTAATAACACTGATTTATTGACTTCAGTAGGGTTTGGACTCAATATTGCTGCAAGGACTGATAAGTACACCTCAAAACCTGAAATACGGCACTGTGTCTAATTTTTCAGAGATGTTCTGTGGTGCTGTAAACAAGAAATGGCAGGTAACAGGAGGTAAATCTGTAACATAATGCTGCTTCCTTTTTCGAGAATGATTAGGGCTTCTAGCTGTTTACAATGCACCTGCTGCCTACTTTAATGTATTCCTACCGCCTGCTCTGACCCTTAGTAACACCGAAGGATTCTAGATTGTTACGCTATAATTAAGGGGAGCTGCAAAAAATTTCTTTTCAAAAGTCATTGCTCCTTTCCTGAGGAACTTTTGGTCCGGGCCAGGAAAGTGGCACAGGGACGTGTACTGGAGCGTGCTGTGAAGCTGTGCGTAAGCGATTTGCCTGATGTACAGGAGCGCGCTGCATCTAACACAATTAGTGGAGCAGAGCCAAGCGGCTCCCATTACACGACATCCATTTCTGCACTGCCTTGGCAAGCTGACAAGAAAACCGTTCCCAAAACACTGGGTATTTTGTGCTACACAGTATTCATTTTAATGATGTTTTACACTCATGTATTATATATACTAAGCTAAAAAGATTGTTACGGCAATTCTATTGTTACAAGGTGTAGAATATTCCATTTTAAAGAACAATCTAATCTGTTATTAGTAATGCTAAGGGGAAGGAGGGTTCTAAAATATTTCTGCCTCTAGATTCCCCAAAATACAAAATGGAACATCCCAAAATACATGACACATGTAGCTTTTAAAAGGCAGTTAGCTGCACATCCCTACGGACTGTCCCATTTTCAGCACTTTTTGTAGGTTAAGACATGCATGTGTATGCATCAACACTTCTGTTTAGCTTTAAGTCCTGCAAAGAATTTCTCTGCACTTTTGCCATGTCACTCTGGGATGGGATTTCCTGCATTTGCCTGTCAGTCAAAATGTAGCTCGGAGTAACAACAATGTTAACTATAGTAGGGATAATTCTGAAATCTTGTCATCACCAATGAACTTGTAACCTTTTAAGTCTTGACATTGCTGCTATGTGATTATATGAAGAACACTCAGCCTGTCAAGTTCAATATCGAAGGAACCCATACTATATGCTTCAGGACTGGTGACATTAAACACAAAATTGGAAGTGGCTCTCAATTACTGTGGTTAGGATAAGCGACACAAACACTATTGTTCAGAAGTTTCATCACTTATAGTTACTGCTAAAAAACTGTGTGCGGCAGTAATCTAAAAGCTAATTACTGCTCATGAATATGCATGCAGCGTAAACAATATACGTAACATGTTGTCCTCAGGAGATCCTATCGTCTATCTTAATGTGGACGCCATTCATAGAAACTGCTTTCTGCAGCCTAATCGCGAGGCTAAGCCATTATCTGATAAAAGATCGTTTACACTAGGTTTTAAAAATGAAGGCCTGTGGCCTGACTGATAAGCCTCCTGTTAGCATATAGATGCAGAGTATTTTGCTACTTCTCAGGACTGCAAAGAAATCTATAACTTTACTGTATACAAGCTGTATTTCACAACATTGTTTGTGCAGGAAGTCCTAAAAAATTGTCAACTGGTCCGATTTTTGAAATTCAAGTTCTTGACATTACAAAGCAGAACAGGTGAGAGAGACGGATAAGGCCTATGTCCCTTATAACTGTGTATCTGTCAAGCACCTTACAGAATCTCCATACAAACCCTTTAAGAACTTCCAAACATCATCAGGCACACAATCAGCCAAACCGTATGATAAAGAATTACTAGTCCAGCTACAATGGGGTCACCTTTTGAAGGGATAATGTATGGTTGTAGACATGATTAGGATTTGGAGGGTTTCAGGGCAAAACATTATTCTGTAAATCATGGAACTTTTGCGATAGTTTTATTTTCATGGTGCGCTCAAAGACACCCAGAATATTTCTTTTTTTGTATGACTGATGTATTATAGACTTGTTTCAGCACCATGAAAACCTCCTGTTAGCTCCAACCATGAAATAAAAACCACTGCAAAGGTTTTAAAACTACCAGAAATTTTCACAATTTACAGTACATTATCAGTCATACATAATACCAGATACCAAGTCTCTGAAATGAATAGACTTCCCGTCATCTCCCCATCTTTAACTTCTCATCCTTAAGTTTAATAATCTTGCGTTAGAATCACACCAGTAGAAAACAGTATTTTCTATGATTCTACTAAACATTAATGGCTTCATCAGAGAACTTTGCTTAACTTGAAATAACCCTGAAACAATGCTGAAGGATTGTACAAAATGTTGTTCCACATACACAAAAAGATGATTGCAAATTATGAATGGAATTGTGCATGCAAAAAAAAATCCAAAAAGACAAGAAGAAATCACACTGTTTAGCATATTCTGCACACACTTCATACTTTTTATCATTGCCAAAAAAATTGATCACATTATGATGTACAACAGAGTGGTTCTGATCACAATCCACACTGTCACTCATCATCATTCATGCCAGGCACATCACAGCTCTACCTCAGGTCCAGTCTTCCTGCCTGGCACCACATTTAAATGAGAGTATGGCTGATGGAATTACAGAATATTTCCCCAAAGGTTCGTCCAGGTATTGGAGCCCATGATAGCACTGTTTGTTGGAGACTGAACATGGCAATTCACAAAATCCTTTTTTTTCATCTTTTTTTTAGATTAACAGTCTCCAAAATTAATACTTGTATTGTAAGTTGCAGGTTGCAATGGCAAGAAAGAATTTGTAAATGTGCAAGTGCATCGGGAACAAGTCTTGTATCTAGAGGTACTTTTATATGTTTTCTTTATACTGTTAGAAGATGAAAATGATCTGATCTGCCAGTAATTTTGGTCTACCCTTTGTCATTCTTTATAAATTGACATATGTACCTGATTTTCTTTCATTTCCTTTTCTGCTTACTGCATAAAATCATTGGAGCTTGTTAGCTTATGCTATGCCTTACCCTGATGAAAGATCAAGGTTAGAAAGCTGTTATATTTGGTAAATGCTTTAATTGGTAATGCCAGAGGGAGTGATTTTGTTCAGACAAGATAAGCCAAATTGCCCGTGGATCACCCTAGAATTGTCAGTTACCAGTCGTTACTCCCTCCCAATGGTAATATACCAATTTTCCCAGCAGTTTTAATGGCTAATGAATATTACAAGTCAACACAAGCCATTCAAACCTGATTCTAGGAGGAATCAATTGAAATTTCTTTCACACCGTCACCTTTTTATGGCTGTTGTTCTTCTTGGTGGTTACACAACTTCTAGAAATTTGATTTCACTGACATGAGTAGTAACAGTCTTAGAAGTGGCAATGCCTTGGAGGTGCTTAACATATTTTGCTCATCTGTTTTTGCCCTTGTTTCTAGCCATGTTCAAGTTCAAGCCTGAGATTAACTAAAGATGACTAATTTCTAATTTTATTTTACTTTGTAGTTTCCATTTTTTTGTTATTTTTTATCAAAGGCTCAACAGAATGGTTCTAAGAAATAACACTAATAAAAATGCTTGACAGATGCACTGATGAATTGGACCAAACCATATCCAAATATTGAAACCTACATGTTTTGACACTAACAGTGCTCTTTTTGCAACATTTTGTTGAAAACCTATGACACATACTGATTTCAAATTTTCCCATATTAGAATCGCAATGTGTACAGTATAACTTGATTGATTCTAATTAGCCACACCCACTCAGCTGTCTAGTGCCATGTGGGTGTGGCCAAGGAGTGATTAAACTGGCAATGACATTTTTCAAGGTCACATCCAGATATCTCATTAATATGGTAGTAGTCTGATGATGAGTGTGACCATATGTAAGATAGGTGGCTGAATATTACAAAATGAAGTCATAAACTGGCCAAATTTCAATTCAGCAGGATACTCTTTAGTTTTCTGATCGAAGTCCACAATTTTCCAAAAATGAAATAGCAGTAGGATACTGGTCTTGTCAAATTCTTACAGTTACATTTACGTTTCTAATTCATTTGATTTCTAGAGATCACAATTTGCCAGAAACTAATTCAAATCCTTGTTAAGTGTAATTTAATTTGTTTACAGTGTACACACATGTAGTCTAATAAATTCTGATAGAATTAATTAAGCCGGTAGCATTTCTTCACAATTTGAGCACTATAAATACGTCAGCATAACAAGCGTAATTTCTTTGCAGTAAATTTCAGTCAGCCTAGGACAACACGCTGACAAAACATTCTACGCCTGTGCAAAACCCACGATTTTCTTTGGATGTTTGGTCAGTGTTGCATCTGAATTTTGTCCATTGCAGACAACATCTTTTCCAACACAACATTTGAAAATAATAGACGGGATGTCTAACATTTTGTCGTGTGTATTGTTAAAAATATTCATCAAAAGACTTTAAACAAGACGTTCTGCTATGCACACTATATTACGGGTTTTGCACAGACGTAGTACGTTCTGCCAACATGATGCCCAGGACATGGCAAGTAGTAGCTGTGATGTTACCACTCAGACACACCCACATCTCTGCACCTCCCACTTCCACACAGTCAAACCAGTGGAAAGGGCAGGTCTGGTGTTATAGAGAGAGACAAGAAAATGGAGGACTCACATTTCTTCTTCTGGGACATGGCTGGGAAAAGAAAGAAAAAGGGCATGACAACATCTGATCTTATTCAGAGGTGTTCTTCAAGGTCTTTTTTATTTTTTCTGTTCTACACACTTAATGAAAACACTTACAGGATTGACCTTAACATGCTGTGATACCTGTGACAAATGGATTAAGACATCTTGACGAGTCGTTAATGAATTCACACAGGGCATACAGATAGCATGCAGACATTGGCGTCAATCGGCTTTCACAGTCAAAAACATCTTGACAAGCATGCACAAAAATCTGGGAGGGCAAAAAGTGCTTGGGTTATTTGTTCAATGTACCTTGTAGCTCTAACAGTTAGCTGTTTGTGACAATTGAACATCCAACAATACCTTCCCCACTAACAGATTATCACAGATCAGGTGAGAGCAATAATATATATTGCAATATGGTCATTTATAATCTGGACATGTGTTAATGGTATCTAAGAACGCCTAAGGTAATTTGTATTTGAATGATGCTTACATAGGGCTAATACCAAGTGAACTCTACAGAGTAACACACAGTACATGTACAAACACATAGAAACAGAAAAGTCTAGAAAAAATGTAAGAACTAAGTTAATTGTGTTATTATAATCACATTTATCACTGCAGCAATACACTCATCCATTCATCTGCAGACTTATCATTCACTCCAGAAATTATCTACGTAATAATCTACTTATACCTGCCTAACCAATCAATGGTGAATCCTACAAAGCCTACAAAAACGTGCAAAAAGGAATTCTAATCCTTGATAAGTCTTGCTTTTCTATGTTTACAATCTTGAATGTGTGACAAAAAAAAAACACGTAGAAAACAAAGGTAAGAATAGATAACAACTTTTTTTATACCCCAGGCTGCTTTTGTAACACATTTAAGTGTAAGATACTGTAGTTATAATTTGGGCCTGACCTGACCCCAATATTAGTCAATTATGTATTCAAAAATGAAAATTATGAAGGTTGTCATTATCAGTTTCACAAGAAATATATGAAGTTGAAAATAATTCTCACTAAAACAACTGGAGCTACTGGAAATTATTGTACTAGAAAGTACAACATTGTACTGGAAAGTACAATATTCTATTGAACGTTAACTTCTTGACACCCACTATTCTTCAATAGCTAATACTATCAAGTGTCTATATATGAGTTGAATTTTGCTTCAAGCCCACTATGACATGAAATTCTCTTCAATGAGGTTGCTCACTGGACTCAACACTTGCCATAATCTGCATCCAGATCTGGATTCTACATCATAGTTTGCTACATCATTTTCAGTGTGCAAAATGTGCCATGCAACTAGGGCTAGGTGACTGTACTGATAGTAAGCCCAGACTTGCGAGGGCTAGAAATACCACCCACATGTGTAGGTTAGTGCAGGCAAAATTGGGGCTGTGCGGGTATTTCTGATGTCTACAAGCACCTAACCTGCACTCGTCCATGTACTTAATTTGTTTGAACTATTAATTTCTGAATTGCTTGTTACTACCTATGAAGTACATGTACAAAAGAATGGTTTTGAACAGTGCTAATGTGATCCATACTTTCTAAATTCTGAGTGGTGCAGGTAAAATTGTTCTGGTGCAGATAATTTTCAATGTTACCTGCACCAGTGTACCAGTGCAGGTATGCAGGCAAAAAGTATTTTGAGTCAAGATCTGTAATGGGTGTACTGCCAGTAAACCTAGGCTTGAGGTCACTGACCTAGGTGAGGGCTATGTACAATGTAACAGCATTAACCCCTGCAAAGGTCAGCACACTCTATTGCATAAAAGCTGCGTAATGAACAGTCGGAGAATAAAATGCACCTTTATGGCTATCACAAAGGTCATGCAGGGCGAGGCAAACCCTGCTTCTATGTCCTTCTCCTGTTTGAAAAGTCACGATCTGTTACGCAAAAACCTGGCGGATCTTCCAAACCTGATGAATAACACGTCTCAGGGGTCTGATGTTGACGTAGTCAAAAGCAACACCTCTAAGATTTAGCTCCACAAATAAAACACTACATCTAGTCTAAAATGCTATGTTTGTTCTTCAAATACTCCATTCTTTGTCTTTTTTTTCCCTCAAATTTTTTAAAAGTTTATTCACGCTACCTTCTAACTAACAACATAAATCTAGAATGAATCAACACAGAAGATGTATTCAAACTGCAAGCTTGGATTATAGCATATTATTCTTGCAAAATGAAAAAAAAATTCATTATTGAAATGAAATATTTTCTTTTTATATTCATTTTTAGTTATCCTTAAAACAGCTTGAAACATCAATGATGAACAATCTAAGATGTGTCAGTTTTACTTGTAAAGTAAATTGAAGACCAAATTTGCTTATTAGAGGGTAGGACACTCAAAAAGATCATGCAGGATACTCATCAGACGACCTTGTCACAAATGATAATGCAACTCGTGGAGGAAAATCAGTTTGTATTGACTGAAGAAAGCCGTAAGAGATTGAAATTTCCGCTGATAGGAATAGCATTCAACAGCTTTATTATTGGATGAATTATTTATTACGCAGTGATTATTGAATTATTTAGTCTGAAAGGCTATCACTTACAAGTGAGATGTGTCACCTTTGCATTGGCCGGGATGAATTTATTGAAAAATTAATACAGTATCTTCAAACTGACACATCCGAGAGGATCAGCATGTCAGTTTCATGCCAAAAGCAACAGGAAGGGCCAGATATACATGATAATGTAAGATACTGTGAATATCTTTCATTCCTGGTATTCAAAATACTGCCTACAGGAAAGGCTACTGCTCTTCAATGGACATGTCTGATTCTATGACCATCAAAGGTGGCCTCTGCAGCACAAAACTGTGCCTGTTGTTTGTGTCCGCAGTAAGGTCTTCTACTAGCACATCACATGCAAAGGAAGGACAGGTTTGGTATATTTTGCCTAATTTTAAAACCCCAAATGACTGCTGTTTTGAATTTTGTATTGCGGGTAAAAATTATCAACACTGTCCTTGGTGCTGAAATGGTGATAATAGGAGTACTTACTAATAAACTGACAATAGTCAAAACAACAGGCTTGGAATTTTTCCATTAAAATAGATACCAAATGATTGCTGTTGTCAACTACTGGCACTGTCCTTAGTGCTGAAACCAGGAACCACATAGTCAAAGGGAAGCTATAGAGAACAGTGGCCTTGTCCGTATCAGATACCAAGGACTCGATATATCTGGTGGTTGACGCATATCTACATCATTGTATGATTCTGCATCTGATTTGGTATGTGTGTGAAGCTACCTAAATCAAATTTTAAAGCTCTTTGGTCAGTACGAGAAATACTACCAGTCTGTTAACAAACCCAAATCACATCACATCTGTCTCTAGCAGTTGTTGCAGGTCTGTTGTAAACTAGCTTTAAGATGGTTTTCAAAAAGTTACCCCATTCTGCAACTGAAACTGTGAAAAGCCTGAAGCAAAGAGACTGTTTTAACATCCCTTGTTGGTCACAAAAGACAAACTTCAAGAGAAGAGCAGATGAGAAAAATAACACCCGTAAGGACACGTCACCCTAGGTGGGCAATCTTCTCCTGAAATAATGATTTCAACATCTATTGATCCTTAGTCCCTGAGGTGTGTTCAGTCTATTAATAGTGAGCAAATGCATAAGACATGTACATGAACCATTCAGTCGATAGCGGGAAAAAACAAGAAAGAATGAAGGAAAAACTAAAAAAGGAAGTTCTCTTTGCCATTTGTATCATGATAGTATCTTTGTGCAATGTTGATTGAAGTTTAAAGAAGTATGCAAAACAACTAATTTTCCCTAAATTTGTAGCAGTGTTATAATATCATACTGACAAGGGCAACAGCAAAAATATAACATTTAACATGGGGTCCTTTCTCCTATAGCATGTTAATCAAATATTCTAGTGGTATCAATGTCTACAAGAAGAAATTCGATTCTGCTGGCCTTTGTAAATATGCAATTAGAACTATGTAAAGAAGAACCAAAGAACAACTTGTATTGTCCATTATTATTACCTTGATATCTATAATTGTCTACGGAGTCATCTGTTAAGAGTAAAAAAAGAGGGAGTTAGTAAAGTTATGCAAAAAAATTCTCAATCTTCCTTCTGTAATATCAATACCAATAAATTTCAGTCACAGTTGGATACTTTCTGTTTGGAAAAAAAGGCAGATTTCAAGAGTAAAGAAATGCAGAACAGACATTTAGTGTAAAATTTGAAGAATGTAAATCAGCTGAAACTACAACTTGAAATCAATGAAAAAACAGCAACAGAAATTTTTCGGATGTCTTGTTGTTACCTTGGTAGTCTAGGGGAGCATCTGTCGAGAAGTGAAAATGGATTGAATTAGTTTGATAGAATTGACAAACATCAAAAGGTACATTTCTAAATCTTACATTGAATGTGAAATCATATACAGAACTGAATACTTTGGTACCTACACAGCCTTGCTCCCCATCAAAAATAACGTAACTGTCATTGATACCTGAAAATCGGCAATGTGACAAGACTTATGCAACCCTTTCGGTTTAATTTTTGAATGTTTCAAGCACAGCCATCGTGATCGCTTTTCCATTATCGTCAAAAGCCTTGGGATCTAGATATCATTTTCTAAATCGATCTTTGATATGAGATGAAATATCATTGCCTCGGGCTCATGTCGTCAATCGCAAGCTAACTTGATGACTACAACACCTGAAACCATATAGAGATATCCCATATCACCGTAATGTTTTTAATGCCTGCACTATAGATGATTTACAATAAAAGAGTCATGTACAACTTGTAAGAACTAGGTAAGTATGTATTGGCTTCCCCCTTCTTCCTCCCCCATTCTATGGCCTAAAATCATTTTGGAGGTATTAGCAAGTGAAACTTATACCATATATAATGGACATCTTTCTGGTATGATAAACAGCAAGCTGCTATGATCCCTGTCTACAATATCAAGTAGTAGCAAAATAATGCTTCCTAGAAAGGAATTTTATGGTCCAGTTAATGATATTTTGCAACAGACTGAATTCTGTGGACGCAACTACTAAAACCTATTATTTTATTGTCACTGACTGCCAAAATCCAGTTATCTATTCACAATTTAGTGCTAAATTTTAGTCTCAACAATGAGTAAAACTCCTACCAGGACTGAATTACAAAAAAGGAAGATTGTAGAAATTTGATCACTTAGATTGGTTATTTGCTTCATTTTACAACTTCAGATTTATTGCCAACAAAAAAATACCATTAAACATTTTACGAGGATAATATTGTAAACTCAAGACATAATACATTACACTGTACCACCCAGACAGAGACCTGCTGTCTTGAATGTTCAGTGTTTTTGTCATGTCCTCTCCTTGAATTCTGTCTGAGTTCTGCCTCCAGGATTCTGGCAGAATTATAGGTAATTTTTCAGAATTCTGAAGAATTTGTGAAAGAATCTTTTGAATTGGCCATGATCCTTGAGACTTCTTATCTACTCCTGTACATTTGTTACCATGCCTTACATCATACTTAAAAAGCATTAACTCATCTGGCCAGTATACTTGTAAAAAATTTCAATTTCCCAGAATTAGACTGCCCGCAAACGTTGTGTCATCTGTTTTCGCTGCTTCCTTTATTCAGTTTCAAAAGCAATTAAACTCATTGCAATCTTTTAACTGATAATCCTGTATGCCTGCAATTGAAAATGGGTCACTCTTCTTAATAATCACAGCCCCTTGTGCCCATTAAGAGCTAATCAATTGATTTCTAAAATTTCTTTCTTCTTACATCGTGGGAAGGGAGTGGTCACCGAAATGTGAAAATTCCAGAACGTAGTAGGTGGACCGTGATTGAATTGATCTGGCCAAGATGATGGATGCATTCTCTGTGGATCAATAAGGAGGATTTCACCAGCATACACATGTATCTGTCGTACGTGCCTCGTCGGGAGGGGGGCCTTGAGATGCGGGGTGTACGTGGCCTCCGGCGGTCTTTATGCTGACGTCACTGTGAGGTAAGACTACATTGATCCCTGCTCACTCTACTTTATACAGACACTTCATCATGATTTACAAACTATGTGTACCTCGAGATGTGCGACCACTCAATTTTCTGCTTCACGCCGGTACAAGAGGCCTTTAGAATGCCTGATGTCCTGCCATGAAAAAGTGGCCTACAGCTTTTGACTTTGCTATGTACATGTGCTTGCCTACCTCAAAATGTATATGTATACTGCATAAAAAGCTGGCACTAGCTTAAAACAATCTTAATCTAATCATAAGTAAGAGCTCCTGTGTTAAAGATGAATCATATTGATGATATCCCTGATATAAGTTCTAACATTGGCTCTGTCCTTGGTGCTGAAAATATTATCCTGCTGATACCCCATGTCAAGTATGCAAATTATGCTTTCAAACATATATGTTGTACATAACTAAGACCCTATTTAAGCTAGGTTGTTGTTAGTTTTGCTCTATGCAAATTTACCATAAGAAAACACTAAAAGAACTTTTATGCCATCAAAGTCTTCCTCAATCTCTCATAGTTATGTCAACGAGACACATCTACATGCACATGTACCACCTCAAGCCTCCCAGCCACCTATCCATTCTTATCACTTGTTTTTAAGATTCAATTGAAGACTTCTATACAGGTTTTATTTTGAGCAGGCATCCCGTTCCTGTATATCTGCCACTCTTATCAGTAAAACCCATAGTTTGAAGACTGGCCCAGGGCTTGAAACCAAAAGCCGTGAAATAAGCCAGTCGGCTAGCCGAACTAACCATGATTTTTCATGTCAGCTCGTGGCAACTTCATTTAACTTCCTGACAAAGACACAGACAAAACTGGCTTAAGCCCAGGTTATATCTCCAAGTTTGACAGTCCTGAGGATTTAATTTTACACTAATAATGCTAGCAAGGTGAGCAAAGTTTTGGTTGTGTAAAAGAAAATTCCTGTATACTTCTAATTCTACTAATGCATGTTGCAGGCAAATGTCGAATAAAATTAGTTCAAAGTTGAAAATAGTGACTAACCTTTTAGCCGTGTTCGCAACTGAAATTATTCACAAATCTTTGTGATGACTTACACATAAAGAATTCCTAGATGTTTTAAAACAGCAACTGCCAAATGCTTGCCCTCTAAACTGCTAGACTAAGTGAACCTAGAATTTTATTAAAGCTGTCAAAAACTTTTCCTGCTATTTTTAGTAATGCACTCTTGCAATATTGGACACCTTGACAGTTATATTGGTGGTATTTCAAGTGCTATTTAGTTTGAAGGCCAACTTAAACCAAGTATGGACAGATCCTACAAACGCTTAATACCACCATCAGTATTGGTCAGGGTTATAATATCTAATACCGATGGATATTACTGAGAAAGCATTTATGGAACAATTTAGTCCTAAAACCATTTCCCCACTCCAGATAGGGTATTCAATATTGTAAATGGGCTTCCTTCCCAACAACATTTGTTCACTGGACGTTCCATTATGTTTGGGACCACAGTGCGTGAATGAAGGAGTGTTCAGATTCAAGTGGAAAGTGTCAATATATGTCAGACACAGGCGCAAGGGCTTGTACTCCAGTGTGTGTGAAAAAAAAGTCATTCCCAACATTCATTTTCCATGGTGGAGTCAGGAAATATTGGCAATATTGAAAGACTCAAGAAACAACACTGAATAGAACATTAGTATAATATAATCACATTCAATAAATCAGCAAAAGCACAAGCCGTGTAATCTCACCAAAGCAAAAGCAAAATTGTGAGAATGAAGCAAAAGGTTTAGACATGCTACATACCTGGCATGGGCTGATAGTATGCTTTATCATTAGGAAAAATGGGGAGGGGAGAGCACACATCAGAACATTACTCATGCATTAGCATAGCATCAATCATGCAACGCAATGTAGGACAGTAACTCTTCTATGCCAAGACATTTTCTCGTCATTTCAAACCAGATTGGGAATCGATACTTCATCTTTCCCGAGACAGCTCGGGGAATGCTAAGTATCTACTTACTCATTGGGAATTCAAAGGCAGCAAAAGACTTTCTGAAAGTTTTCAGACTAAAGTTCTCTATGGTTTCTTTTTTTTTAATACGTTAGCAATACTTTTATAACCAGTGGGTTGTGCTCAAGAAATAGGAAAGCGCTAAGACCTAGAACTAAGAGGTGGTGAAGACAAAAGGAGGGATAACTGCCAGGAATTTAAATAGTAGTAAACATCTGTGTGGAGGTGAATGGAAGCGTTACCATGGTTTGCAAATAACATGATGTGCAACTAAACCAAGGCACGGAAAGAAAAACGGAAACGGAAACATGTAACGTTAAAGGTCTGTAAGTCCCAGGGTCTTGAACAGCAAAGGCCCTACTGTACGTTGCAGCCACGTTTTTAAGGAAGAATTATTTACAGCTGCTGGTGCCTCTAATAATAATGTCACTTTGTTAATCAGTGGAAGACAGAATCAAACACGCAAACATTGGCCTGCATACCTCCATCAGCTAACATGACGGCTTGGGGAAGAAAACAAATGAAACATTAAAATATGTGTATTGACTTTTAAAGTTGGCAAACCAAACGGGAGCATTTTCTTTTTCTAACATTGTACTAAACGTAGTGGCTATTGGAGGCAGGAATGCAAAATGACTAATGCTTCCCACCCCCCTCCCCCATATCATCCGTCTCCACACAGCACCCAGATACCCGTGGAAACAATCACAATGTGAAATGAACATGGTGTCGGATCGCCAGTGGGTGTAAGTGTGGGGAAACAAGTAGGTACATACCTTCCACGTCAATTGCTTTGATCTCTGAGGAGACAAGAGAAGAGAGAGGTGGTTTTAGCAGTGAATAAGCGCAGAGACAAAGAGTTGCCGGGTGGCAATTAACACCAAAGATTTCTCTCAAAAGAAGAGTCATAACTACACATTGGTGCAGCTTCATTTAATATGCACAAGGTATACAACATCATGATAAGAAAATGAATGAAACCATTACCCTGGAGGCTTTCTAGAGAGCAAAATAGTTAAAATTGATTCAGTGAGAGGCGGTTATAGCTTTTCATGGAAAGCACAACAAAAATTCATATAGATATTCAATTAACAGATATCATATCTCATTTCAGGTTCCATCACGAGCAATGGGGCATGGTGGGAACATTCGTCTTACGATGCCCACCCGGTCCGACTGCCAAGTCATTTCTGCACGGAGGCTCGTATAAATTAAAGTCGGATCGTGCACAAAGGTATGATGACAGAAAGAGGGATTTCATGGTTATGTAGGATAGACCATGAATGCCAATGCAGCTTGTGAGGACGGGATAGGGTTTCAGCGGGGAGCCGGAATTTGAGCTCAAAATCTGAAAACTGATGACGGCCTTGAAATTGTGACTTAGCCCAAGGACTGCAATTTCAAATTTCCTGAGCTATGGGACTAGGTAAAGCAGACTATCAAAACTACAAATTACTAATGTTAAGCACATTAAGAAATTGACACTGCCTCACAAATATCCAAGCAATTATCTCCTAAAATACAAAGAAATAGTCTGTTGCTCAATTTGATGCCGTAATTTGAAAATGTGATACTCAAGATAATAAAACAGAAAAATGGAAAACGTAATAGATTTAAGGACATTATCTGGAATGCTCACGAATAGGAACATGTTGGGGATGGAAAGACATTTTAAAGACCCTTGCTTGTAGAATAGCCCCAAGAATATCAGTTTCTATGCATGAGTTCCCTTTCTTATCTGTCACAAGGACATTATCTGGGTAGCCCTACATGTATATCATGATTGCATTTTCTTTTTTTCAGCCTGCCAAGTGCTGATTCTGTTGGTACTTTTGCAAAATCTACAAGTAAATTTCTTTCTGCTGCAAGGCTTAGACTCTATCAAGATCCAGGGAGTAAACGTAGGTTTGACGCATCTTCCAAGTCTCCTGTACCATTCAGGTTTCTTACTGGTTGTCTAGCACCTTTGTGATACAGTTTCATTGGCATTCATGTCGGCAAAGCCCCAGTATTATTCTGCCCAAAGAGCCATAATTTATAGATGGAACAGGAAATATTTGAAAAGTCAAATAAAGAACACAGAAGTGGACACACTTACCTTTGCTGCAGGTGTCTCCCTCATACCCTGTCCCTGTGCAATCACAGGACAGTTTTGAATTCCCATCTATGCACTTCCCACCGTTCTTACAAGGGCTGCTATCTGCGCACATGTAACGCACCTCCTTCGTTCCCTGGCTGGAGATCAGCTTGGGCTCATCGTTTCCGAACCGAATGTTTCGAATCGAGCCCGTGAAACGTGGTTCAAACATGGAGGAGGGCAGGGAGAGGTCGTTCAGATCTACTTCCAGGGGTATACCCCCGAAGAACACGTCGCTCTCGCTCACTAAGATGTTCTTCTTCCCGTCTGACGTTCCTGTTTTTGTTTTCCCATCCACGGAAAGGGTCGTCATTTTATTGTTTCTCACAATTTCTACTGAGTGCCACTGGTTATCGTTCAGTTTGCTTCCGGTATCTAGATCAATTTTGACCGGGTTGTCATCCTCAATCTTATTTCTGAGTCGCAATTTACCATCTAAGAGAATCAGCTCAATAAAGTCGTGTTTACCACCATCGTCCATGTACATGAGCAGTGCTCTGTCCTGGGTGGTCCTAAATTCAAAGCTGAGAGTTCCCTTACTGCTGGCATTCCAGTTGGCGTAACGAGCGTGGGAGTTTTTTGAGCCATCGAAGTCAAGTCCGAGGGCCAACTTTAGCAGCACGAATCCGAGAAACGCAAGTATCCGTGCAGCCATCTTGAAGAGAATAAGAATATATCACGTAATTCACATTACACAGATTCAAACCTGTAGTACATACATGTAGTGTACACCCTGATCCTGTTATACAAAAAAGTAACAGTCATTATTAGACAGATTTGCATAACATGAAGAAAACAACATATAGAGCAATCTCAAATTCTTTACTCTGGCTATGCTTGAGTCAATACATTGAACATGGTATCGACTTATAATCGCCTCAGCCTAGTATACATAAATCATGCTTACTACACTCCTTTCTACCTACCTAAGCAATGTCTATTATCAAATACAACAAGCAAGGAAATTATCATCCCATTTTCTCTATGGTGTACAATGGCATCATTTCAAGTGAGTCCCATTCCCTTTATCCCACTCTGACAGAACTGTGCCACAAATGACCCGCAGCTTGTCCCAAAGCAATTTTCCGAAAAGGAAACATGCTCATCACCTCTGTACCATTAGTCATCCCCGAGCTCCCGAATCAAGGTCACAGGTCAGCACTCGCACTAGCTTCTGTGAGTCTCCGACCTCATCTCAGGCAGAAATTGGAACTTGATCTGCCTGAAAGGTACAAAACCACAGCTTAAGCCAGCAAAATACGTAGCACAAACTGGATCTTCCAGATAAAGAAAAATGACCAGAAATAGTGAAAAATTGCACAGAAATTCAGAAATGAGCAGAAAAAATTGCAACAAAGTTTGCACATTCAAGATGAAACTGCATAGAATCAATCAGCAGTCAAAGGGGAAACAAACATTGAATTTCGATCGACATTGTTGGTGAACCGAGGGAGCAGGCGAAACTGTTGTCGCGTTTTGTGCAGCAATGGCTACGCGGGGTGGGCCGTGAAGGATGTTATCCGTCCTCTCGCACAAATTGCTAAAATCCGAGAGCTCTGTCTCATCAAATATTGATAACCCTGCGGGCAATTGAGCTTTACTTCCCGTCCTGATTAGAGGCAGGGCTGAAAGCCTGAGGTGGAGCCACAGATCGTCAGGACTCGTCTGATGAACATCCCAACTACATCATCAATGGAGCAACTTCTGAGTAACGTACAGACCACAATTATTACTAAACCTTCCACACAGGCAAACATGCCAAAGAATTTAATCTCTTCAGCACGCAAATGCTGGTCAGCAAATTTTGGAAAGATGCTGCATGTAAGCACATATTTCTGTACCAAGGTGTAAAGATTCAAAGAGAATATTTCTGTACCAAGATGTAATGATTCGAAGACATGTTTTGTTCAACTTAACACATTGTAAAGCATATTATCCTTCCCTCTGTACTGTTCAATTCTGGGAAGCTGGCCAGCAAATTTTGAAAAGATGCAGCATGTAAGCATGTAATTGTAAATACTAATTGTTCAACTTTATACGTTGTATATCCTTCCCTCTATACTGGTCGATTCTGAGAAATTGCATTTTGATGGGATTATAAATATTACAGATATAGGATGATCCCACAAAAGTAGCTTTCCCCCCATGATTTCTCTCCATTATAACATTGGCAAGGCTTTATTCCTTTAACACAGTATCATCAGATTTCACATTCAAGTTTTATCTTTCTTTGGTAGAACTACATGTAACACAAAGATCTACCAAACCAACCCTGTTCAAACAAATTTTCTTTATCATAATTATTATTATATGACTCATGCACTTATGATCAGCCGCATCTCACATGCAGCGTAGGCTGTTCAAACAATAATGACACAGTAATTATCTTTGATATGTCAATATGCAGACAAAATGTGTTGTTTCTCATATTAACCTTGCAGTATGCATCCCCAATATGCAAAACAGTATTGACCAAATTCATTGTATGGTTGACCTTGCAATGGCTAATGTGGTTATTACGGTTGTCCAACTGCTATATCGGACATCCCTTGAAATCTTGCATGATTCAGCTTCAGTGTCAATAAACACATGGTACAGGGCTTACATGTAGTATAAAACAGGCATGGACATCCACCAATGGGATGTGCTCTAATGTAATCTGTATTGTTAATGCAGTCAAAACTGCAAAAGAAGACAACTCAGGGGACCAATAAAATGGTCACTATTGACAGGATTCTTAATACTTATGTCAATGGAAAAATTGTCTAAGGGACCACCAAAAAGTGGTCACATAGGCATGGTGGTCATTTGAATACTAGGTTGACTGTACATTCATTGATACTCTAAAACCTGCATCATTCTGTATCATGTTACAATTATGGTATGTTTAGTTCACAGGGTTAGGAATGCCCTTTTGAGAAGAAGTTGACCAGTATGGTTACATAGAATCCAACACACTTGACAGCCTTTGATACACTTATGCTGTAAAAAAGAATTAACAGTCAATTGGAAAGCAAATCTGTGAGCAAGGGCAGTTTCTTGCATCATCATCCCAACCTAATCAGCAAATGACTTGAAATGTCATCTTCAGACACTTAGAAAGATGTGTACATTTCATACAGCAAAGTGAAGTCAGTTTTGTGCAAGATCAACCTCCACCCCCCCACCCCCACTTTCCCAGAAACCCCTACTATATCCCCACACAGAACATGTTTGTGGCATGAATCCAGAGAAATGGGTTAAAAGCTGTGTTAAAAACCCCCTCAGATTTCACCCCGGATTTTTTAAGAACTTGTTTTGGGTTTTCCCAAATAATGTCACCACTCTTATCTCAGGTCCTAATCTAAACAGTGCTTGGCCATGGTTACCCTGGCAAGTGTCAATCAAGTGATTTGTTCCTATTATGTGACATAATGAGTCCTAGCTTGCAGGCATAACAAAGACTGGCAAAATTGTGTAAACAAAGAGTTGTTAAAAATGAATGGATTGCTTGCATTGGAAACAAGCAATGGAATTATTATCGGATTGATAAGAAAATTGCTGAGATATAAAATAATTCTAAACTGTTCTTCACACCTGGTTCAATCTCACACATACAAAATGTCTTGAAAAGACAAAGACCATGTCAACAAAGCTTCAACTATCATGTAGAAATGTTAGCAAAGAAAATAATTAAATAACCGATGTACTGAAAATCTGTATAACCGTGTACTGCAAAGTTTGCAGTGGTTTTATTTTTAATGATGGCAAATTTATATCATCGATGTATGTATTACTTCAGGAACTGGACCACAAAATTGCTTTAAATATTAAGTGAAACACACATACATACAACAAAAATCTCCTCTCCCATTCTATCATGAAATTCAGTCTCTACAACTATAATATAAAAGAATTTTAGTGATAAGGAATATATTAAGTTTCCAATGAAGACTCCCCCACTTTATCACTTTATTTTTACCTGTCACTTTATTTGTACCAAATAAATAACAAAATTTAATGAAAAAATACTGTAGGTTTCATGGATCGGAATTTGCATACTAGGTTCTAATCAGCAATTATCAATGGTTCATTATAAAATTGTGTTTGTAATTGAGCCATAGATGTACAATACATTAATGAAAGGGCAATTCTTGAATGAGATAGCTTACAAAATGGCAGTGGGGCTTCATCTCGTGAAGTGACATGAATACCAAAGCATGGTTCTTGTGCCTTTCAAGAGGAAAATTCCGATGACAACATACCAGATTTGTATGGCTAAAGATCAGGCACAGAGTGGGCTGTAAGGTCACATTATTTCATGACTTAGATTCTTCCACAAGTCCATGACATTGCTTCAGTGAGCAATTTACCATTCTGAGTGACTTGAAGGCCACTGCGATATTACATGAGGAATTACTATGTCAAGAGAGGATTAGCCTTACAAAGGAGAAAGTAGCGGAACGGAACAGGAACAAGTTACATCTCAATGTAGTCTCTAAGTAACTAACACCTCTTTGGTTTGGTCACGGAAGTTTCTTCCTTCTCCTTTTGTAGTTTTTGCAACAATGTCTGCCTGGGGCTTGAAATCCTTTTTTCTGCATACCATCATTGAACATAAAACCTTCACCAGACAAATTTTACCTGCACCACTCAGAGTTTAGGAAGTACATGTATGGATGACCCTAAAGATGGTTCAGAAACTATTGCCATTATCTCTTGCAGCAAATAAAAATCCACATACATTATTGTATAAACCCAGCAGATGCATGCATGGAACAGTGTAGACATCAGAAATACCCGTAGAGCTCCAATTTTGCCTGCACTAACCTGCATATGCAAGTGGGATTTTGAGCCCTGCTGTCCTTTTGGGGCCCGTTTGGCCTGTAACAAAGACATGCTGTGCCTCTTCCTCTTTCAGAATAAATAATGCACCCCCTACTGTTGATGAATGCATGATATGTCAGAAACTGTTAATAATCTGATTCTAACTGCAACATACAAGGTACATTTGTACCAATACAATTTGTACAGATAGAACTGTATAGACTTCAGCTCACAGAAATAGCTGACATTTTTTATCTCGGCCGCCTGAAGCGGCCGAGGTATTGTGCTCCAAAATATGTACGTTCGATCGTGTTTTCGACCGTGAAAAAAACCCAATGAAACCAATTACTCTGCATGTATACTTTACTTTGTGGTGTCGACCTACCGGATGATAGTGTCGTTATTCTGATACAACGAAGTTGCTAAAAAAGAGGAAATGCTGTTTACCACAAAACCATTGTTTTATATCATAGTATGCATTTAATGTTCTAGAATTTCGCTAATAGCTGCTGTAATTGGACCAATAAATCAATGACATAAATTATGTACGTTAACCTTCCATATTTGCTTCAGTCGCAAGATGTCGCTTTTGATTGGTGAATAAATCACTGTGACGCAAGTAAATATTCACTTGAAATGAGAAATTACCGCCCAACAAAACGGACCATTAGATTCCCAGTGCTGTATTACTCTTTTGTTCTTGTGGTCAACTTGTTTTCTTTGCTTGAATCGCGTAAAAGACCAAGGAAAATACAATGAAATCGGCAATCGCCGAGCCGCGCCCCGATCTGCCGCCGCCATCTTGGATTTTTTTGGAAAGCTGCAATTTGGCCCAAACCGCTAGAGGGGGCGAATTAAAATGTTTAATATATTCGGTGTGAAGTTTTAGTAGCTCTAGCAGTAGAGGAGAAGTTTGATAATGCATAGAACGGATAAAATAGAATAAAATTAAATGAAGTAAAATAAAACAGAATAAAAAATAAAATAGAAAATAAATAAAAAATAAATAAAAATAAAAAAATGAAATAAAATGAAAATTATTGTAGTGGTTCCATATACTTAACGTTATATTGTATTTAGCAATGATCATTTTTCACTAATTCCATTGAAGCAAATGATAATGGAAGCCAACTTATTACCCTGTTTGGTGTTACAGGTATGAACATACTAGGTAATACATTCTTTCCTCTCTAGCAGTTACACAAATCTATGTGGACATCCTCCAAGAACACAAAACTACATGGCCAGCGGCCGAGATAAACTTTTTTCAAAAGTCTTGTTTCTGAATATATAGGTTGCAAACAATGTCAGCAACTCTCAAATTTCAGGCCTATTGTAATATTTATTTGCTTTAGTCTGGGCTAAGAAAACAATTCTTTTGTCACCGGAGAGTCAGTGTGCTTGAAATGCAATTGTCCATACAACATTTTCAACCTATGACATGTAGACCATTTAAAACACCATAATCCACCCCTGACTCTTCTCACCATCATTTTTGGCCCATACCTTTCTTAGTCATACCAAAAGTTTTCTCCTAATATCACGGAACAGTTGGGGGAGTTTGCGTGATGGATCGCAATTGTGGACCGGAAGTCTGTGGCCACAAAGCCACACCCTGACGTGACACGCCTCTTTAATTTCTTAGAAAGCTGGAGTTCGCTGCCACACCCCTCCCTAGAGTGCGTGGAAAGTTCAGGCGGCGTTAAGCTGCGTAGGTGGCTTTTTCCGGCAAACATTAATCAGTGCTCTATGCATTCAAGTTCAACATTTTTCTTTCCTTGTTGTTTTTCCGTAAAATAGGTGTTAGCTTTGACACACACTTGCGTGCCTGCGAAGTTGCAATGGTGCGTCTTGCCAAATGGCAGCTGTGTAAAATATACATTCCAAACAATTCAGATTAAGAAAACATAACATATAACCCATTTTGACATCAAAGAAGATCGTAAAGCCTCCATCTGCATTAATGTAAGATTCCTGTCACAATCCCAGTCTTATTTCCATACGTCACCACAGCCCCTAAGGAACTGGCCAGCAAATTATGTGCCTATACAACAGCTTAGCAAACAAAACGTTGCAGGCATCAGCAAAATCTTGTGTCTGACTGAACCAACATTTCAAAAACTAAACCCAAGGCAAAAGCAGTTTCCAAATTTAGCCTACTGGCAACAAAATCAACCACTGTATCTATATTTGATAAACCTCTGATGAATTTTTCTATTTCGGCATAACTGCTTCACACTGATTTAACTTCAGGTTGGTTTCAGATAATATTTGACAAGCACTCCCTGCCTTTTTTATTTTAATTTTCCTGACATCCATTCTGTCACATATTGATTAAAAAGATTTGATTGATCAATGAAATTATGACTTTATACATCTGTTGTCACGACCTTAATAAACAATGTTAGGAACTGTGCAAACAAGAAATAAAATTGGAGCGGAAGAAATTGCTCTCTCTCTCTCTAACAGTCCCTTCTCTGAGTCCCTTTTGGAATCTTTTAACAAGATTTTGAAGTGGGAAGTGGAAAAAACAATCAAGTAACATGCATGCACACTGCATACCACAGTCAACAATTCCAATCGTACACCAACTCCCTTTACGCAAAGGTAATAAGTAAAATTCTACAACGTCTATTGTGCGAGATTTCACACCCAATGCTCAACTGTCCACTGAAATACAGAGCCTTTGATGCATAATGACAAATTATGAAAACAGATAGACACGTAACACAAATATTATTAATAGATTATTCATGCCGTGAATAAATTGTTAATGGCGTTAACGCATTGTGAGGATACCGAGACTGCGATATCTATAGAATCTCTCAAATGCAGTAATTTTGAAGCCCTTCCCCCCATTAAAACACCAATTTTTGTGACCTCTTCTCCGTGATGCAATTGGCAACAAGCTCGAGCGTACTTATTACAGAATATCATAACACTCCAGGTCATAAATCTGAGTTAAGTACTTTCTACTACGCTCTCTATTGTTGTAGAATAAACACGTTTTCAAAAGACGACATTACATTGTAAATGTCAGGGAAAGGTTATGTGCTGTTATAATCAAACCATGTTGAAAGTCAAGCAGATCCAAATAGAAACACTGAGTCACAACCGTTCAATGATTGCGAAGAGAGAAATAATACTTAAACCGCTGTGGGTCCCTTGTGTTAACAGAGTGAGGGGGGGGGGCATAATAACAAGCGTACTAGAATCGATCGTTGATACAATCTGGACGATGCGTAATCCGAGAGACTGACACAAATTCACACTTTGCTAATGAGATCTGACCACTGCGCCCATGATGGAAGAAATACAGTCCAAGTCTTTTAACAGGAATTATCAATGTAATTGCAAAAGATTTTCTTCAACAAGCTGGGGTCTCTGACTGTGAATACAAAATAAAAACACAGTTTGGATATCACTGAGTGTTTTTTCATACCTTTATAAATTATGGACAATACTACTTTCACCACAAAATGCTACCTTTACAAAAGAGCAGCGTTAATATAATGTTAAGCCACATGTAATTGTTCTTGCATGTTGTTTCACAGCACTGTGACAAGCACATACCAAACGTAGTGAAAGGACATGCCATGGTGGCAGTTTGGACAAACAGGGCTGTAGTAGTATTTATTTAACCCACACCCTGCTTACACAGGTCTAAACAGGCAGGCACACAAAAACTGTGTCAAGCTCTCCCTGTAGTACACACCACACCCCTACTACGCACAAAACAACACTATGCCCTATCCCTTCAATAGGGCACAAAAAGATTGCTATACAAAACCCTGAAAGGTTCTCCACCTGCTCAAGTTCTCAGTCATTATTGTGCCAATCAATTTCCTCCTTTTGACAATAATACCTGTCATTCACACCTGACACAACAGTACTTTTCACTACACTTATGTTTTGGAGGTTTGACAGAACTGTTTACGTCAACAATACCATGATATGACTGCTTTTCTGTTAGGGATAGTCAAGGGGAATCTTCCTTAAGACAACTTCCGCATACCAGGGTTTTAAAGGGAAGATGGCGCAGTGTCGCAATGGTGTAAAACAAGTCCCACCCATGTCACACACAGGTAGCGGACCCTCCCTTTTTTACACTCCTACACTGTTCAGTATGGCTGTCGCAACCCATAGCTGCAGGAAATCCAACATCATCAATTTTTCAGAAGCTATTAGAATCTGTGCAGAGTGGCGCTTTGGTGTGACACACGCTATGTGCTACCGGAAAGGGTCAGGCTGTTGTTAAGGCAGTGGCGGAATACCGTGGAACGCTTATACAACACGAAATTGGCTCCGTAAAGGGCTTCAATAAGAGGCTTCGCGACGTCAAATTCATCACTTGGAAATAAATCTCTCGCTGACGTACCCCACAGTCCGAATTGCCTTTACCTACCCAAGGGGTCAGTAAATTTCATATTGGATATATTATCGCCGTATCGACTGGCTGGCCGGGCCGCGCGCCGAGGTACCTCCATACGTGCGTGTATCGGATCTATTCGCCACACGTGATCAAAATAAATGGAGATCTGGGGACGCTGACAAGCTAATGGTTTCTGAAACGACTTGTAAACAATCAATTTGGGGCAGATTTTCCACGACTTTACCTCACTGTGCCGTGATTTTGTCTTTAAAGAAAATGAGGTGGGGGTTTTAAAGACGCCCTCCTCGCATGCCGGCTTGTACCCCGGCGTAGGTCGGGCGTTCAGAGTTACCGCCCACCTTGGACCGAAATTATGCGCCGGGAAGCACGGTTATGAACGGGACACAATTCACAACCCTTCCTGCCATAACTAGATACGTTAGTTTCACGAGAAATCACCAGTAACAAATAGGAAATCCGCTTCTCTGCCGTCATCCTAGGCAAGCAAAAAAATCGCAACGTTGAGCTGCAACGTTCGTAGAATGAAGCGACCGGAGTTGTTTTGCCGTGTACGGTTTGTACGTAGGAACCCCCTTAACGCTAGTGCACTGCCTTCTTCCATATTACATTCACAAACAGGCAAGCACAATCCCCTGTAGTCTAGGGACAAGAGGTTGACAATATGCCGAGGAATGAGAGAATAGTTACCTTAAAGCAACGACCAGGGATAGCGGCTACGATCGGGCTGTAGTAGCGGTGAGAGCCAGGCGGGATAGCGGCGCAGGTTTTCCATGCTGGAACACTGAGGGCGATCGCGACTGCCCGCCGTTTAACAGTGGATCCTCAGGCCCCACCTTTTACCCAGAGCGTGTAACCGTAACACACAAACCAGCATCCAGGCACGCGAGCCGACAATTTGGGAGCCGAAATTGCCCGGGGACGATGAAAAAAAAACTAGAGGTGAACGCTCTCCACAATCCGATCGTTTATCAAAGGTGCCGACACATAGGACCACATCGTCGCGAATTCCTGGCATGCAGATTACCCAGATACGTACTTAGCATAATTTATGCGCGGGGGGAACAATGACGTTCAGATGGAAGAGCTACCTACCGGTGTGAACAAGGCCCGCCAGTCTCACCTCTTCCCGCCCTCCAGAAGAAGATGAGAGAAAGATAGCGACGCTTCCCCCGAAATCAACTCTCACGTAGCAGACAGGCAGCTCACGCCGGCATGGCGGGTTTTAACCCGGGGGAACAACAGTCTGATTGAGCGGGGATTGAAGCGCCCGCCGCGCACAGATCACCTTTTCAGTGCCTGGGTTTGACGGGATATCTGTAATGGTCTGGAGTGACCACTGATCGCTGAGGCTCGGTTAGCGGGTAAGCGAGCGCACCCTATCATGCACTTCCTCTCCGGGCCGCCATTAAAATGCCTAGGGGGAGGGAAAAAAAAACACACCCCTCTTGTTGTTACAACTAACGTTAACTTTGTTATTATCAGTAATAAACGGAGATGAAATATTGTCACATCTGATTATCTGGAAGAGCGGTCGTAATTTTTTTCCTCGGCGCGTCAAATTTTTGCGGCAGACCCCTGCCTGTGTTACAGTACCCCTGATCCTCTAGCTAAAGCTTATCCTCGCGGGCTTTAAGAGAAATCCGGTTGGCATGGAAACCAGGAGCTCACTGAGATTACTGGAACGCTGGCATACTGCACTGTGTTTCAAGGGTCTTCGATGTAAAACATCTATTTCTTTTCACACATACGTCTTCTGATATGGTTCGTATACGTAATGTACGATGTACTTTAAAAAAATATCCTTTTGATTTTTTTACAGCTTAATTTTGAGGAATAAATTTTGAAGGAGGAGGAGCAAATAGCTTACTCTTATAAATTAAAAACATGAATTATTTCAATGTACTATTTACTATTAGTTTGGTTTTCTAAAAATGACAATGAAATGATTTCACTGAGTAACGTTAAACAGTTTTCTAAACTGATATATATGTATATTGACTAATATTTAACCATCTTTTATACGTTTGTACAATTTGACTAATGTTTAAAAAAGGGTAGTTAAACCTATACCTTTTATATATTTGTATATTGACTATAATATCTAAAAAAAAAGGCTACCAAAAGCTCATCTTTTATGTATCGGTATATTGAACAATCTTTGACAAAAGGCTAGTAAAAGCTTTTATATATTTGTATATTTACAAATCTTTAAAAAAAGGCTAGTAAAATATATTTCATTATTTGTACATCGAATAATATTTGGAATATGCCGCATCTTTAAGCGCTTGTACCCTGCGTTGTACTTTACTGATGCGTTCACTGCACTTAGACCAAAATAACATCGCTTTCATTCTACCGTGTGGCGATGTGCAAAAGTTTTTAAAGATTCCACTCTTGATTTACACCGTTACAGAACCGAGTTTAATAAAAGATAGCGAGAAGCGAATGATCCTCTCTGCCCGTTTACGGACGTCGTTGCGCCGGGAGCCCTACTGGGCGGCGGCCCACTGCCAACTCCAGTAATGGGCCATTTCTGCTTTCTTCGTAAATTTGATTGCCAACAACAGATTATATATATACATAACCACTGGCAGTTTAGAGGACACGGTTATAAATCAAATATATTGTCTTCTGAACGTTTCTCGGAACCCGTGAAACGGAAGAAAAAGTTACATAGAGTGTTGTGGGCGGGTTTTTTTATGGCTTCACCACTATGCGGGAGAGGGGATAGGTCTATTTTTGGTATGGGGGATGTGGTGAAGCCATTTGCTGCATTTGCTCCAGATCTAGAGCAAATGTCGGCTTTCTAGTTTACTTTGTATTCTGAATCGTCCCAACTTTTTAAAGTCTTCATAGCTGGCTCCGGAGGGCGTTTTGATATTGTTGTATCCCTGTTGCTAGTAAAACGATCAGAAAAAGGGAACATCAAGACACAACGGCGATTAGGCTAGAAAACGTTAAAAAAAATAGCCGCAATATAAAGTGCCGCCCAGAGCTTGATATGGATTCTACCCATCTTGTACTTTCCAATAACAGCCCTAAGCAGTGTAACCACTGTATCCAACTCACTCAGACCCATGTATAAAACGCCCAGTATATCTTTACATTTCGTACTCGGTAATACTGTAATATTGTTCCAAAGTGGCGACATCCATAGCACTAAAACCTGCTAATGTCACGGGTAAAGCAGATGATATACATACAGATTTAACAACAGCAAAAAAACCCCACCAGTGCATTTTTCATAAAGCATAAAGAAAATCACAAAAGAAACCTTATTTGAGAACAATACAGTGACCGTAATGATATTGTTAGTAGTAGTAGGCAAATAACCTAGTCTCACCCAGACACCTTTGCAGGCTGGTTAAATAGTAGAAATTGACCTAAAAAAGGAATGTAACTGGCCAGGGGAGTTGGTCAGCCATAGAGGGAGGATCCAAATCCCCTGGACAGTTACATTCCTTTTTAGGCCTGATTTCTACTATTTATCCATCTTGCAAAGGAGTCTGGCGGAGAGTACAAAAACCTACCATGCGATCAGTCGGTCTAACGCAGTCCAAGATTATCGGAGTAACAGCGGTTCCACGGAAATAACGGTGACGGGCGAACGGTTCTTAATCAATCGGGGGAAACAGTCACGGCTGGGCAGGGCCGAGACACGAGCTAGACGTGTCTTGTTGGCGGTGACAACAACAGGATTGATCTGCTGACCTTCGGGACGGGTTGATTGGGCGGCTGATGAAAGATAAAGCCGCACGCCTCCTGTTTTGCTGACAGGCTCGAGACTACTTGTTTTTCAAGATACGCAGGAAAAGCGAGCCTTACGCAGTTTTTTTTTAATCCCAACATACATTACAAGACATGGCGACGGCACACTCAAGTTTTTCCAACTTATTATCATGCCGCCACCAACAAAGACAAGCGCATTCATGAACGGACAACAGACATACTGATCTGCACCTGAGTAAAGTGAGGAAATCAGTGTAAAGTGCTTTATCCAAGAGCACAAGATCGGTGGAATGGCAGGATTCGAACCCGGGACCTCTTGGTTCCGAGCCGAGTGCTCTGTCGTTCCTGGCCACACGACCCCACACAGTTACAGTCACCGATTGCGCTGTGGGCAACTTAAGTGGCCCGACGTAATTATTCATCTCTCTTTTACTATCATTATGTGTTTTGAACGACCTAGACTAGTGCTTATCTGAGTCTATGACAGAATTGAAGATGATCAAAGTTTTGTAATAGAATGTAAATTATACAACAATGAGAAAGGAGAACTTTAAAGTCAGATAGCAGTACAGACAAATTTACATTTCTAATGAACTTAGACAAACCTTATGAAACATATCTGTTCCCACCTTTTTACCATTACTAAGAAGCGAGGAGAGGTCGAATATAGTTGTAGTTACTTGAAATGTACATATGCAACGTTATCTTCTTCTGTTGTGACCTGTATTTAACCCAGTGGGAATATGTGTACAACAAAATACAGTTCATCTAAAATTGCAAACTAATTACTTTTTTGGAATGTCATATTATGACCCTTTTTTTCAAAGAGGTCTGAAAAGTTCGACCTGAAAAGACAATATAATAAGCACACCGTGTATGAAATGGAAAAAAAAAGAACTAGTAAACGGAGTCTGGATTAGAGCGTTTCGAATCAAACCGTTCTGAACTTTGCAGAGAGCCGATAAAGACAGTTGTAATTTGGAGGTCAGGTCACATGCCTTCTGGGCTGTCTACAAAATTAAGCTCTTTGAAGGGCACGGGCACTTTCACTGTGCGTGCTATATGCTTACAACGTCGAGGCCAGTAGCCTTCAAAGCAGACTCCCTCACTAGCCTTTGGGGCAGGCTTATTAGGTGCAATTCACTAGCTGTTTTCTGGTTGTATACATCTTTTTGAGCCACCAGAAAACAGTATCAGTCAGAAAACTGGTACACATGCACAGTCAGAAAACAGTACATGACTAGAAAGTGTATTATGTATTATGTTTACCTTCACAAGGTCTGGTCCAATAAACTACCGCTATGTTTATTCTTACTAAAACACATTTATACATGTATATATAAGGTGACCAGCCCCACCAAGTTGCTACATAATGTAAACGAACACAACAGGGTGTCTGCTACAGCAACGGTTTCCATGGTGACAGACGTCTGGTCCAGATCATTGACCTTATGTGTTTGGAGAAAAAGAATAAGAAGAAACTGAGCAAAAACAATATATACGTTTGCCATCTGAGAAGGTAAACATAAAAAGCCACAGCGAAGATGCCTTTTACGGAGGCTACATGGCCCCAACGTTAATTTACAACACTTTTCTCTTCCATACTTCTTTTTCATGGTGACAAGCCTTTTAGCTTCTCGAATAAAATGGGAATAATCTGGCTACCGCAGCGGTGGTGATATCATGAAAAGGTCAGACCCTATACTTGGGCAGAGCCTCTAAAAGCTCTTTTCACCTTGACAAGTCTGGGAAATTCGGCGTGCGCGTAACGCAAAATGTCTCGGCCGCACGGGTGTGTTTTAAAGCGGGGGAAAAAGGCTTATCAAAACACATTACAGCTGCGGTGGTGAAGTAGTGAATCCATCACCGGGGCACTAGAACTTGGTTAGACACGCTCTGGTGCTATCGGTTCACTCACAGTAAGTAACTTTTGAATGAACTTTATCAACCAAAAGTTGAAACAAACGCCGTGTACTGAAAAAAAAGTCTCAGCCAAAGCCGAGTTTCACGCAATATAGGTTCTACATGTAGAAATTCTACATTCTACAGTAGAATATACTGTATAAACCCGTGTAAACTACAGCTTTTAGACCGTATTGAAGTGAGAATTTGTGTAGCCACTGGCCTCAAAGTTCTACTACTTCTCACACAAACGAAAAGTTACCTCTTTGTTTATTTTATACAGATACGTTCATGGTCATTGTTCCGATTAACTCTCCACAGTTTGGAGTTTTCGGCGCAACGCTAGTTTCTCTTCTATCTCAAATCAAAATATT